TATTAATGACTTTTAAGTTTAAAATTCAGAGTCATAAAAATTTGATAATTCAAATATCAATAATACAGTACTATATTAAAAATGAAAAGAGAAATTTAAAAATCTGCAAACTTAATAATTAATGACTTTCAAGTTTAAAATTCAGAGTAATAAAAATTTGATAAATCAAATATCAATATTACAGTACTATATTAAAAATGAAATGTTAAAAAAGAAATATAGCATATCAAATACCAAAAATCTTAAAAATATATGTAAACGTAGAATCTTATAAATTATTAAAAGCTCTTAATTTTTCACCTTAAACATTTTGCCACAATCGATACAAACTGAAAATAACATTGAATGCGAACAAGATTGAATTGCCATAAACGAATAAAAGCCATGAACGTTGCAGTTTCACGAATTATATCACAAATTTGTAATAATCTAGCGAAATGTAAAGAGAAGTATACAGGAAACAATAACTGCTATTTGGCACAGTTTCGAGTACGGTTTTCTGTCGTTTCTCACTAGGTCATTGCATCCTTTTATCGAGTTAGCAATGGTAATTCCTTTTCTCCAACGTACTTGCTTTTTCCCGCTATTCTTTGTTTGCGAACGAAGCATTCCCTCGCGAAAGAACGTAAAATCGTCGCTTACGACCTTCTCAAGGTGAACTCGAAAATTTTCGCCAACAACATCGTAAACAACCTCTATAATCCGTTGAAGTATGAACGTATTTCATACACGAAAATATTAGCACGAATCAAGTTTACTATTCCAGTGAACATCGGCTTCAATCTTATCAGCCGGAAGTTGAAGAAATTCATGCCTTTATCTACGTGCATACTTTTTGGAATTAGTTGGAGTTACCTTTTTATTATTCGGAAATTAAGGGACTTATGGTTGTTTATGTGAAGCATGTGAATTTTGTAGCTTCAGAAATTTAGGGTGACTGCACTGTAATATAATATTATTATAAGATGTAATTATGTAATATAAATATATGAGATATATGTACATGAACATAAATAAAAAATAAAATTAGTATATATTTAGTACGCCAGTTTATACTATTTTATACTAGTTTAGTAAAATAATGAATTATATAATAAATGCACACTAAATACATATACCAAAATATATATTAAAATCTTCATTAAAATGCATACTAAATGAATATTAAATAAAATAATATATACTATACATTATACAGATATGTATATTTATACAATATACTGTAATACTATTTTGCTGCTTAACTGTACAAGATTTCATATAACTTGTTCATATAATATTGCTAAATTCTGAATTTTTAAATTCCCAAATTCCTAAGTCTTCAACTTCTCAAACTTCTAAATCTTTATTTCTACAAATTACCAAATTCTAAATCCCTAAATTCCCAAATTCCTTTGTTTAATACATCTCCCATTCTTGAATTTCGAAATTCCCAAATCTTCAACTCCCCATATGTCAAACTCTGAATCTCCAAATTCCCAAATCTCCAACTCTTCCAATTTCCTAAGTCCCCAAATTCTGAATCTCTAAATCCCCAACTTCCCAACTTCCCAAGTCTGCAAACTCCCAAGTCCCCAAATTTCCAAGTCCCTAAATTTCCAAGTTCTCAAATTCGCAAGCTTCCAAACCCCCAAGTCCCCATCTTTCCAAGTCCCCAAATTCCCAAGCTCCCAAACCCTCAAGTCCCCAACTTTCCAAGTCCCTAAATTTTCAAGTCCCCAAATTTCCAAGCTCCCAAATTCCCAAGCTCTCAAATTCCCAAGTCTCCAACTTCCCAAGCTCCTAAATTCCCACGTCTCCAACTTCCCAAGCTCCCAAATTCCCAAGTCTCCAACTTCCCAAGCTCCCAAATTCCCAAGTCCTCAAATTCCCAAGTCCTCAAATTTCCAAGCTCCCAAATTCCCAAGCTCTCAAATTCCCAAGTCTCCAACTTCCCAAGTCTCCAACTTCCCAAGCTCCCAAATTCCCAAGTCCTCAAATTTCCAAGCTCCCAAATTCCCAAGCTCTCAAATTCCCAAGTCTCCAACTTCCCAAGTCTCCAACTTCCCAAGCTCCCAAATTCCCAAGTCCTCAAATTTCCAAGCTCCCAAATTCCCAAGCTCTCAAATTCCCAAGTCTCCAACTTCCCAAGTCTCCAACTTCCCAAGCTCCCAAATTCCCAAGTCCTCAAATTTCCAAGCTCCCAAATTCCCAAGCTCTCAAATTCCCAAGTCTCCAACTTCCCAAGTCTCCAACTTCCCAAGCTCCCAAATTCCCAAGTCCTCAAATTTCCAAGCTCCCAAATTCCCAAGCTCTCAAATTCCCAAGTCTCCAACTTCCCAAGTCTCCAACTTCCCAAGCTCCCAAATTCCCAAGTCCTCAAATTTCCAAGCTCCCAAATTCCCAAGCTCTCAAATTCCCAAGTCTCCAACTTCCCAAGTCTCCAACTTCCCAAGCTCCCAAATTCCCAAGTCCTCAAATTTCCAAGCTCCCAAATTCCCAAGCTCTCAAATTCCCAAGTCTCCAACTTCCCAAGTCTCCAACTTCCCAAGCTCCCAAATTCCCAAGTCCTCAAATTTCCACAAGCTCCCAAACCCCCAAGTCCCCAAATTCCCAAGCTCCCAAATTCCCAAGTCCCCAAATTCCCCAGTCCCCAAATTCCTAAAGCCCCAAAATTCCTACATACCCAAATTCGTAAAGCCCTAAATTTCTAAATCCCCAAATTCCTGAATCTCTAAATTCCCAAATTCTCAAATTCCCAAATTCCCAAATTCCCAAATTTCCAAATTCCCAAGTCCCCATATTCTCAAGTCCCAAACTTCCCAACACCCATCTCCCAAATTCCCAAATGCACTCTACAACCTAACACCTTATATCCCAAACCAGTGATACTCATCCTCGTCCGCCATCGACAGTTATCTAACGCATAAAATTCCTGTTAAGTCAAACTAACGGCAACCAAAGTTTCAACGGTTGCGATGATCGCACGTCATAAGAATAGCAACAGTGCTGAATATTCGCGAACCGATCCGAAAGTAGAGTTGTGTACGGGACTCGTTATCGGTTCGATTGTGTCCGGTTGTCTGACACTCGTATCAAGATGTGTCAACGTCACGGCCGGTGATGGTATTCCGGTCGGTGTTGGTAGCACTGCTAGGTCGGTTAACCTGGCCCAGAAACTAAGCCGGAACTGCTCGAGGAATCAATGACCTTGGCACGAGTAATGCCAGGACATGCGATCGTTCGCAAGGAAGAAAGTTCCATTCGCATCTGTTGCGCTATGAAGCGGAATCAAAAATTCCACGCTCGCAACTAGTCCTCTGCGTCCCCCTCCGACGAAATAAGGATAACAGGGGTGAATTATGGGAGCCAGGACAGTGGTTTTAAATGAGTATTTTGTACGTTAGATGGCTGTTGTCTTTGAAATTTTAATTGCGAATTTACTGGGGAAATTTGAGGTAAAATTTTCAGAGAAAGCATTGTGAGGCTGGTTAAATTTAGACTGTTGTAGCTTAACATTATAAAATTTTAAGGGTGTTTGTATGTAAGTGTTTTTTTTTATAGGAATGTTTAAATTTTAATATATTTTTTAGTTAATTATTATAAGTGTTATATATGTCATAAATTATTAAAATTTTGTTGGGTCACATAATAAGTTATAAACATTTCTTTGGTTTGTATAATGAATTACAAACATTTTTGTAGGATGTATAGTAAATTGTAAACTTTTCTTGGGGTTATATAATAAATTATAAACATTTCTTAAGTTTGTATAATGAATTACAAAAATTTTTATAGGATGTATAATAAATCATGTACTCTCCATTAGGTTATATAATAAATTATAAACATTTCTGAAGTTTGCATAATGAATTATAAAAATTTTTTTAAGATGTTGTATCTTGAACATTTCTTCTGCTTATGTAATAAATTATAAACATTTGAGGTCTTGGGGGTTCTTCAGTGATTGTATTATAAAGAGAATTGTACACATTGTAGGTAATGAAATGAAATAATTAACATAATTAGTACTGCAAGATGTAAAAGTAGTATTCAAGCAAAATTCATTCACATACCATTACAGGTTAAAATACAAAACGTAAATTGGTGCATTAAAATGTACATCAAGAAAAATAAAATTTATGTAAATGTAATATGTATGTATTTTTCTTAAAATATTATAATGTAAAAGTATAAAGAAATAATTTATAAATAAAGATATGATAATTTATAAAATTTTACAATGATACATGAATCATTAAATAATAAATTAAATTGTTTTTAATTTTGTCAAGAATGGGTTTTTTTAAACATTATGTGCAATTAACTAAATATATTAAATAATTATTTAATAAATTCATTTTATTTATTTATTGATGAATGGCTTAATTTTGAAGCCCTTCAAAGTAAAGTGATCCCATGATTTTATGAAAAATATATATTATGTTTACAAAAATTTTATTTGTACAATATACAAATATTGATTTTAATATCATAAAAGATAAGGCATACTACTGCGAGTCGCGATAAGAATATCTGCACTGATAGTATTTTAAAATATTCTAGGAATAGAAATAATAATTTTATCTACTCTTGCACAAATTTTTGCAAATATATTTTTGATTAGGTATATAGTTTTTTATTTTTTTAATGGTAAATAATACTATACAGTGTTCTACATTTAAACTAATTCAAACGATTTACGATTATGTAACAATATAAAATAAAATAAATTTTGTTTAAGAATTGTACAACTTTATAAATCTTCAGTAACATAAAATTTTGTTTTCAAAAATTTTGTCAAAAACCCATTATAATTAACACTAAACATATAAGTTATGTTTACAATATAAGTTATTATAGATTAATTTTATTATTTATTATAATATTAGTGAATGAGCTGCATTCAATTTAAGTTTAAATATTAAATTTAAAATCGAATAATTTTATAATAATTTTGTATTTAAAATTTGTGTACATTTTTGCCAAGAGATGGCACCACTATACCACTCACGTGTTATTATTATTATACATCATAATTGTGCATGCTACATGAAAAGTACCGCTAAAAATTAACTGCAAAATCAATTAAGTTATAGTGAAATTGTAATTAAAAAAGTCATAATGAGTAAAATTTGTTGTATATGTTCAAAAACAGATTGTTCGTACAAATGTCCCACGTGCAAAGTGCCCTAGTAAGTACATTATAGGTTATATTCATTATTGTGACATTGCCGCCAGCGAATTTTCACATAGGAGCACTTTTATAAAACTCTATTGAAAACATTGAAACAACCACTTTATATTTTTATGTATTTTAATAGTATTAAATATATCATATCGGTCACAAAATTAAAGTATTAACTCGGTTATTATAGTGAACATCTAAAATTAAGTTCATGTTCACATTATAAGATAATTGTCTTAACAACCCTAACACTATTCAATATATTTTTAGTTTTTTTATGCTTCTGAGAATTAAAACCTATCTTAATCTTGCTTCCCAAACTTATTTAACGCATAAGATTTATAAATACTTTTTGTTTGTTAGTTGTTCTGTAGGTTGCTACAAGGGGCACAAAGAAAGTAATTGTCAACCAGAGGACCCTAAGCAACACAATGGTAATGAAGATGAAATCACATACGACTTTCCTACAGAAGATACTGTTCCCATTGAGAAACTAGAACAATTGCGTTACAGTGAAGAATTGAAAAATTGTTTAAGGAATCCTCATGTACGTGATATCATGCGTGCAATTTTGACAGACAAGAATCCAACAAAGGTCATTGCTTTGGCAATGACCGAACCAATATTTGTGGAAATGGCAGATGCATGTTTAAAAGTTGTAGAACCTCCAGTTGACGATCAACCATGTTGATGTACATAGAACTATGTAATGGTGGACCAAAGTTAGATCATTGTTATATACTGTGATGTTATTGATGGTATGCTGTTAAAAAAGTATGAGCCATAAATCATGTTTTATAGTATTATATTTTAATATCAATTTAGGAAATTATAGGGAGGTATTAAATGAACATTCATTTTTGATAATCTTTTTTATCAAACATTTATTAAAAAATCGAATTCAGTTTTGTGATTATTAAACCTGAAAGTACATAGAAGTACACTGTTGGTAATTTGACATTTGAACACATACATGTGCAGACAGGTAATGAACACTTTCTTTTGGAAATTTGTTTACAAAAAATTGCAAGGTAATTAAAGCATTGAGTCCTTTGAGTGACAAAATGAAATGGAATTTTCGAGATCTGTTGGCATTTCTGTTCCATCTAGCTCTTTCTGAAGGGAATGGTACCTTTTCCTAACGAGAAATGCTGCCATTTTGGGTTGTCTCTCCCTTGTAAATATACCCTTCTTGTTTCCACCCACTCTTATGAATGCTATTAAACATGCATAATGTAGTTCTTATTGCTATTTTTATTGCCATTTTTTTACTTACTTTGAGCTGTTCTGAAATCTGCAAAATTCCAAATGAATTCTCCAATAAAGAAACCTTCGTTTCTTAATTGGTCAAATGCTTCAAAATGCCTGGAGAGAACTTCTACCTGATATTCTTCACTCCACACATACTCTGGCAACTAAGTTATTACGAACTTATATTTAAGAAAGTTTCTGATTATAATTAAAGCGTTGTAATTATGAAATAACTTACTTCATGTAATCCAGGCATAGTGTCGGCTCCATACTCGGACATAAGTACAGGCTTATTATATTTTTTGTGCCATGCTTCAGCTTCTCCTATAACTCGGTTCGTTATGGTGTCGAGTCTGCCTGGGTTATTGTACCAAGCATTATACCGATTAAAGCTAATCACATCAAGGTACTCGCCGGCTTTATCCTCCTACAAACAAATTGTACTGTATTGTAACATGTGTACAACTTGTAGTTGTAATACATTAATTGTATGGGGTGCTTCACGCAATATTAATTTCCATAAATTTATTTTTCATCTATTATGTATTGCATTTATTTTGCATCTTATATCCAATTATAGATAAAGGTTAGAGTGAATTGTAAACAATTTCGTGAAGCACTCTGTATTGTGACAATGTAAAATTAAATAAAAGTAACCTGAACAGCTCGTGCCATAGCAATGGTAACCGGCCTGGTAGGGTCCAGTGCCTTAGTGTGATGAGCCACCTGCTTGAAGTATTCTCCAGCTTCTGGTAGCTGCGTCCTGGGCTCGTTTGCGATTGACCACATAATCACCGAAGGACGATTCTTGTCTCTCCTTATAAGCTCAGATAACGAGTCCTTGTGACGCGAAAGGAGAATCGGCGTGAAGTTCTCAGTGTCCACGGACGGGCACTCGTCAATAATGAGGAAGCCTAACCTTTGAAGAAACGGACAAAGTAACTCTTTTTACTAAACGATGCTCCTTATCGAATGTACAGGGCGTTCAGAACCATTCAATCTTTGTATATAGGACGCATTATAAAGTTGTGTAAATACAACGTAAAAATAAAAAGGCCTTTGTGAACAGATAGGAAGGTCACCCATTTCTGAGATGTGAACATTTTTGTATGTTAGCATCATACTTCTGTCATCACATGTTTATCTAAGTGGTTATAAACTGCCTTTTGTATGACCTCATTCAATTTACATACTTTATGATAGAAGATTTTATCGGTAATCAGTCATCAACCGGTGATTATGGATCTATTTAGATTATGCAGTTACTGTGCTACAAATGAGTGTTACTTTAATGAAGAAATGACAGATATGTGTTTTATGTATGGTCATGCTAATGGAGTGCTTTAGCTGCACGTCGTTACATGGAAAATTTTCATAATCGGAGAGTTCCCACTCATACTGTTTCAAAATCTTCATGAATGTATGAATGACGTTCATTTAAAACTCTGGCAGACCTAGATCTGAATGTTTGGAGAATCGCATTTTAAGGATCGTAGAAAATCCTGGAGGAATATACGATCTCAGGCACTGCCCTCATTCGGAGAACATGAGTAGTTACTCTACCCATACCTAATCCAAGAAGTAGAAATACTCACTTCACTATACTATCAAGCAAGAATACAATTTTCACAGTGGCTACTCATAAAATGTACTTCGAATTCGAATTCCGTCTTCGACGTTACCGATCGAGTACACTGCGCTTGATAGAAAGATTACCGACGTGCCGCATGCTCTTTACTCATGCAGTTTATCCCATGTTCCACATAAATATTGAATGATTCTTTTGAACATTCTGTTTAAATTCGGACGGTCTGATTGCGTTAACAGGGATCTAATTGAATTTACTGTGAATTTAATAACAGTGTGTTGTGCCACTTGAAGTGACCAAAACCATCTTACGACCATACGATGTGGATGTGGAAAGGAAAATCTAACGCGCTCAGAACTGTTAACACCTGAAGTATTGCATTTAATCTTGGAAGTGTTATACCTAACACTGCAAGTGCTATTCTCAAAGTCTTGTAAATGTAACTGATGGATTGTTAAGAGGTCTTTACCGGTCAGCCACGTCAATGACTTCCTCGCTGTAAGGATAATGGCTGGTCCTGTAAGCATTTGCGCCGACCCACTGCAGCAACTCATGGTCCCTGGCAACAGTAACCAAGTCCAGACCGCGTCCCCGTATGATCGAGTCCTCGTGCCTACCGAATCCTCTCATATACAGAGGTTTATTGTTAAGTAACACGGTGGTGTTTGTCCAGGTTAAAGTCCTGATACCAATGGGTAGCCTGTAGATGTCTACCCCGCTGTCGTTCAGCACTGTCAATGTGACCTATTAAAATTACATTATGTGAAACAAATCCGTAAGGAGAATTTGTGACACTTGTTCAGTGTATTTGCATGTTCGACTGTACCTCTAAGGTGTACAGGTATCCAGGATCAGTGGACATACCCCTGGGCCACCACAGTTTAGCGTTCGGCACCTTCAGCGTGCCGGAAAACCCATAAATCGGTTCGTTCACCGCTAAAATCCCTTCAGCATCGAGCAAGCTCACTCTGCAGATAGGAATTTCGTGTTCGTGCAAGCCGGCCGCTTCAACTGCGTATTTTACGATACCAACATCACCGATCAGTCCCGTCGTTACTGTTATGTCTTCGATGTAGATCCGCGGTTTCGTGTGCAACAGAACGGGCCTGCAATTAAACGATCGGTATCTAGTGTCCCGGAAAGTGGACGGACTTTCATTTCAGGATGGGCAAATTGTTATGCACTGTAGCGCGACTTTGTTTGTCGCGTATCAGCGCTGATCTCATCGTTGCGGATCTTTTTATCGTTCAACGACATGGATTTTTCGAAAGTTGCACAGATGGGTCAGCGAGTTCATTATGCGCTGTATGTTCTGTTTGGTTATCATGTTAATTACCGAGCCGTTGGTGATTCACTTCAGAAATTTAACTTAACTAGTGGAACGGCTCGTACATATGCACGAGGCAAATAAAATAATCTTGCTGAATTTGACCAAGACTATGTTAAAGAATTTCATTGTACATACACGATGATCATTAATTTTATTCTGTTATTAATGCACAAATTTTATTAACCTTGACGGTGACCTTAATAAAATTAAAATCTTGTTGAATTTGACCAAGACTTTGTATATTCAAGAATTTCATTGTATATACACTGTGACCATTAATTTTATTCTGTTATTATTAATACACAAATTTTGTTAACCTTGACGGTGACCTTGAATACTGAATCTATGCGCAGTCGATAACAGAAAGCGTCAAATATGCGCAGTGAAGTTTTGTTCAATAAACATATTAGAATAAAGTGAAATAACTTCACTGCGCATAGTTATTGCCTGTCATTAATAACTGCGCATATGTTTTATAGTCAAGGCCATTTCACCTTAGAGTACTTTGTTAGAAGAAGGGTGAATAACTAATAATGTATAACAAAATGTGTAATTAATGTTTAATAAAAGAATGTGTAAACAATGTCTAACAAAAGAATAAGTAACTAATAATGTATAACAAGACAATAAATAAATTTTGTAAGTAAAACTCACCTGTGTATGCCAGCATAATTGAAGAAATCGAAAGTGTAAGTCTGCATGTGTACTGACCCATTATCGACAGCAGTTTCAACAATTTTACCCTGTGGGACGCTCGTTTGTAGCAAAGTGTTATCCACCGCGACAGTTATGCGATTTTTACCGCCATAAACCAAGTATGAGGACACCTCAGCTTCGAATGGAAGGTGGCCCATTTCGTGGTTGGTTACCAATCCCCCGTTTATCCACTGAAATAAAAAGGACGTAAATCCGGTAATTTTTAATTATAGTGGAAAGCCAATGATCATAACAGTCGAGGCCCGTATAAAATCAATCAATTATAGTGGATACTAAGTTCTGTGAAAGTATTAGAAGTTTAGATAATAATTTTAATGAAGGAAAAAAGCTCACCACTTGCGCTAGGTAATTGACAGAGCCAAATCTAACAAAGACCCTTTGATCCCGCCAAGAAGAGGGCACGAAAAACGTTCGCTGGTACCAAACAGCCCCAACGTGGTCCCTGAGCTCCCTCGAGGTTGTTATATCATTGTACGATGAAGGCACTGGCATTTTTATCACTTTTCCTACCTACATGAAGCGGTACATCTACATAAATGAATCCTGGTTGATAATCTGTGACTTGCAAGCTTACTATCAAGTGCAAAGATATGTGGCTTTTACTGATTTTTATTTATAAAATAAAAATATATTTTTATATTTTATATATAAAATCATCAAATATTTCGAGTGTGTAAGTTATTTTAAGTTTGATTAGAATACCTTTGATAATTCGTCGGAGAACCATGCTTCTTTGTAACCTCTCAATGTATCGTCCGATGGTGAAATTATGAAGTCCCACATGCCATCGAGGGATTTTACCTACAAAGATTGATTTAGTGAAGAGTTCTATTGGAATATTATGTTGGACTGTTGTATAGTAGATACTTGTTATATTGCCACTTTCACAAGGATTTTTATGTGTATCAATGGTGTCCTTTTTTATTATGTGCATGAGGATTTATAGTGTTTATAGCAACACCTTAAGTCTTATATGTTAATTTTCAAATTATGGAAGTTAGAAAGTTGGATAGTTATAAATTTACCATTTCACAAAGTCAAAATTGCAAAGTTAAAAAGTGACAAAGTAAAAAAATTTCAAATCTATAATGTTACAATGTTAAGAAACTACATATTCACAAAATAACAAAGTTATAAGTTACAAAGTTACCAAATTTCACAACCATAACCTCACATAGTTACTAAGTCCCAAAGTTCCAAATTTTCTGACATATTTTTCTCAAAAACTGCTACAAAATTAAAGAATACAATTTCTTCCTCAATATATCAATATATCCTTCAATATATCATCATTATATATACATCATATATGTATTATCAATTACAAAGAATTTCCTGTCTCTAAAATCGTATTTGTGGCAATATAACGAGGGTCTACTGTACTCAAAGGAATAATAGGGACACTCGTGATCAGTACCTACTTCCAGTTCGAAATAAAAATCATTCTATGAACAGTAAAATGTAAAAGCGGAGAAAGGATTACCTCTCGCGATTCGCTTTCTCGCGGATAAAGCATGCCAGGAAGTGGCGATGGTGGAGGAAGATCCTCTTCGTGAGGTAAAGGCGAATATTCAATCGGAGTTTCAGAGTATGTGATTTCAGGACCCGATTCTCCCGCCATCACGGCGCCGATTAGAAGGAAACTTAAACGCCACATTTTCCAGCGTTTTTCCTAGAAAAACAAAAATTGACGTTCGAGAAATTTGTTGAACTCTTTGTACAAATGAAAAGAAATGTTAGATTATAAATTTTAGAAATTTTAGCAAGGTCAGAGATGTTTTACGTTTTGAAAATATATAATATATTTATAAGGTTCATTACTTAACAAAATTCATACAATGTTTATTACTTTAACAAAATTTTTACTTCTGTATTGTTAGTAAGAATTTAATATTTAGTTGTAGGAAGATTGTTTTCCATTTTAAATTGAGCTTCTGTCGATACTCCATTTTGTGACGCTGACGATTGCAATAATTATGTTTTGTATTACTCTGGAGTATGACCTTGTTTATCTACAAAGTTACTATGCAATGTAATATTGTTTACCTATATAATTATTCTGTAATGTAACATTATTTATAAATTATATTTTTTTGTATTTCATCAAATGTGGATTTCAGTGTCATAAGTAACATTGCTTATCTAGATAATTATTCTGGAATGTAACATTGTTTATCTATATAATTGTTATGCAATATAACATTGTTTGTCTACATAATTATTCTGCAATGTAACATTATTTGTCTAAATAATTATTCTCAAATATAACATTATTTATCTAAATAATTATTAATTGTTTATCTATACAATAATTCAGTAATATAACACGATTTATTCATAAATTATATTTCTTCCAATATTTAAACAAGGGTGGAACACAATGTAACGAGTAAATTATTCAAGCCTATTTTATTGCATCAACAGAAATCGAATTCTCCTGAAATAATCGCTGAAATCAGAGACATAATGACTGCGACCTGGGATATAATTTCAGACATTTTGATTAGAGATTCTTGTGACCATTCATCCGACGAGATTGCTTGTACGTTACCCGGATAATCAACATTCTTTAGAAACAACAAAGTCAAATGCTATGTAATCGTTTCTGTAACTGATAATGTGATATCTAATGTACGCGGTTGGAATTTGTAAACAGCTAGGAAAACAATATACAGTAGACGCCATTTTGAATATGTATTAGAAGTCGATTATTCTTAACTGTAGTTATGTTATCGTAGTTATGGTAGTGGATCATGGCTAATGTGTTTATAAAGTGTAGTTCATAGGGATTTTTAAATGTTTATATGTATTTTTATATGTATTTATAAGTGTTTATAGGTGTTGATAAGTGTTTATAAGTGTTTGTAAGTGTTTATAGGTGTTGATAAGTGTTTATAAGTGTTCATATGTATTTATAGGTGTTTACAAGTGTTCATAAGTGTTTATAAGTGTTTATGAGTGTTTATAAGTGTTTATAAGTGTTTATAAGTGTTTATGAGTATTTATTAGTGTTTATAAGTCTTTACAAGTATTTGTAAGTGTTTATAAGTGTTTATAAGTGTTTACAAGTATTTGTAAGTGTTTATGAGTGTTTATAAGTGTTTACAAGTATTTGTAAGTGTTTATAAGTGTTTATAAGTGTTTATACGTGTTTATAAGTGTTTATAAGTGTTTACAAACATTTACAAGTATATAAATTGTAACACTTATTCCAACCATCAATTGTCTCAATTCAATTATCTTTACTTAATCCACACACTGAATGTATTTAAACAACGAAAAAATGCAACATTAAACCTATTTATTTTTATTCATAACAAAAGTTTTGTCCATATTTCCTCATCAATGTTTTCATACCCCTACTTCGAAAACACCCTGTATATTATTAGGACTTCATCAGCGATTAACATTAAAACTTCTTATCAAGAATAAAAATTCTTATCTTTTCAAGTAACATATGAACAAATTTTGTTCCACATGACCTAATTTTTTATTTATATTCACCCCCTTTTGTACCATTTCAGAAACACCTGTGTTATCAGTTTTAATCGAAGACTGCAATCAAGGATTAATGTTCACTGTTTAATTAAAACTTCTTATCAAGAATAAAAATTCTTGACTCTTAGTTACATACGAAAAAATTTCATTTAACATTTCTTACTTGTTCTTTCATTACATTCACCCTCTTTTTGACCTCAGTTTAAAAACCTTGTATCACTATAAAACCTTGTATTGATCTTACTCAAATTCTTTAATTAAAAATTATTTTTAATTGAAGCTTCAGGTCAAGAATAAAAATTCTTCATTTTTAAAATTCTACATGAACAAATTTTGTTCAACATTTTTTACTCATTTTTATATTTACTTTCACCCTCTTTCTGACCTCGCTTTAAAAACATCTTGTACCAATTGTAATCAACAATTATTTTTAATTGAAGCTTCAGGTCAAGAATAAAAATTCTTCATTTTTAAAATTCTACATGAACAAATTTTGTTCAACATTTTTTACTTATTTTTATATTAAGTTTCACCCCCTTTTCATCCCAGAATTTAGGATACGGTTTCTGTAGAGTATAAGTGTATTATATTTCTGAAAATTTGAGAACACAGAATGACAATGGTTTGTCGAGTTAATGCAAACAGAGGTACACCTCGTGTGTGTCCCATAGGGTGTCGTTCATAGCAATATCGGCTTCCTGGCACGGTGCCCTCCTACGAGAGCAGACTTCCCTTCCCAAAGCATCAAATCGTTTCCTCGTACACAGTGTCGTCGTTGTCCCTAATTCTTCGAATAGATACTGAGAGAATGTAACAATTGATGCCGTCGTAGTGATGGGAACGACATACTCGCGAATTGTGTCGAACCATAAGAGAACTACAGATCCCCTAATCGGAACCCTTAAATAACCTTCTTCTAACCTTCAGTAATTTACAGCATTTTCGTTAATAAGGATCAGTTGTAAAATTGTCTGAAGTTAAAAAAAAATGAATATAAGAATAACATACCAACACATACAATCGTTATTTATTTTAGGAAAATATATAATATATGCTCTATTTAATAAGAATGTATTTATTTTAAAAAAGCACAACAACAAAAGTAGAAAACCTGAGTATATTTTGACAGATAGTTTTAATATTTATTAATAATAAAGAAATAACAATTTTACCAAAATTCATCAAGGTTCAAGAATTAGAAAATTTTTATTTTAATAATGAAGTTCAGTGTTTGTGTAAATTTGAATATTGTTAGAATGTAAGGTTATTTACAGTTTGAATTTCGCGCTATTTTGTCGAAAATGGCGGGACCAATGTAAAACGATACCGTTATTTCGTGACTCTGATTAGGTATGGAAACACGTGTCATGAGAATATTATTTGAAACAGGTTTGATGCGTATCGTATTTCGTTAAAGATTCCTGAATTAATTGAGACGATTTTAAAAAAATATTCACTTATTATTAGTCTTCATTGAAATATTTAAAAAATTTGTGTTCCTAATTTAAAAATTAAATGATATTCCTAAATTTTTATTCTATCATACAGTTTTTTCATTCTTTTTAATTTATTTGAGAATTAAAATGTCTGAAAATCGTAAAATTAAAAAATGTTTAAATACTAAGATTAAAAAATTTCAAGGTTTTAAATTTCTATTACTTAAAAATTTAGAAATTCCAAAGTCCTGAAATGTCAAAATTATAAAATCCCAAAATCTAAAAATTATAAAGTCCCAAAGTTCAAAAATTAAAAAATTTCAGTCTAAAAATTATAAAATTCAGTCTAGAATTTCCAAAATTCCAATCCCAAAAATTACTAAGCCTCAAAGTTTAAAAATTAAAAAATTTCAAAATTTCAGTCTAAAATTTCCAAAATTCCAATCCCAAAAATTACAAAGTCTCAAAGTTTAAAAATTAAAAAATTTCAGTCTAAAAATTATAAAATTTCAAAGTGTAGAATTTCCAAAATTCCAATCTCAAAAATTACAAAGCCTCAAAGTTTAAAAATTAAAAAATTTCAAAATTTCAATGTCTAAAATTTCCAAAATTCTAATCCCAAAATTACAATCTCAAAGTTTAAAAATTAAAAAATTTCAAAGTCTAAAAACTACAAAATCTCAAAGTCTACAATTTCCAAAATTCCAAAATCCTAAAAATGATAATCTCCCAAAGTGACAAAGTTCAGAAAGTTTAAAGCCCTCAATACTTTAAAATAAATCGAAATAAGCACTTGAAACTTGTTACACTTCAAAATATAACAATTCCAAAATCAGAAAATATCATAATTGACTTTCTTTTTTATGTAAGATTTACAAAGATATTTATCTGTTGTATCTCATGCAAATAGTGATGAATCACATCCAAATGTTTGCGCGATTTACTATCTAATCACGATTGGTATACTTATTGTGCTTATAGCGTTCGAGGAAAACGGTCGTAACCACACTTTTATGAAAGTTACAGTGTTTGTATAATTCTAAATTATCACTGCTCATCGATCGTCGCAAATGTATACTTAACCCACTTCTTTCCAACATTACTCATATGCAATCTTTAATCGTAAGAAAATATTTTTATGTCTCCATGTCTTTCTTGAAATTACGAAGAAACTAAACTAAAATTTACAAATTGATCAATTATCGTTTTAAAATTTATTATCGAACATTCTATTTTGTTCTTTTTTCCTTAAATATAATTTTCTATAGAATAACAAAGTTGTTAATAAATTTTCGTTCAAAAATTAATTATTATTCTTCAATATAATTTTGTGAAAAATAATAAAATTGTTAATAAATTATTACTCAAAAATTAATGATCATTCTATGTTCTTTGTTGACATAATTTTGTATGAAATAATAAAATTGTTAATAAATTATTGTTTCAAAATTAATTTGCATACATTTTCTACAATTTTTAATATCATTGTGTGTAGAAATAAATTTTCCATTCTTTTTCAATATAATTTTGTGCAGAATAATAAAGTTGTTAATAAATTATTACTTAAAAATTAATGATCATTCTATGTTCTTTTTTGACATAATTTTGTATGAAATAATAAAATTGTTAATAAATTATTGTTTCAAAATTAATTTGCATACATTTTCTACAATTTTTAATATCATTGTGTGTAGAAATAAATTTTCCATTCTTTTTCAATATAATTTTGTGTAGAATAATAAAGTTGTAAATAAATTGATTATTATAAATTTTGAATCCTTCTTTATCACACATGACAAGTAATATGTGACTTTTAAACCTTCAAAATTTCTGCACTTGCAAGTTTGTCAATTTAAAAATTAAAAAATCTCTAATTTTGTAAACAATTCAGATCAAAACTAAAAAATAATTAACCATCCATACAAAAAAAAATATAATATTACGTTTAACACTCACAGTACATTCAACATTTGTATTCTTTCAATAAACACAACCCACATTAAAAAAATGTAGCTTCACCCAAATTTAAACGCAGTTCAAAGAAACAAAGTTTACAAACAATTCAAAAAACATTAAACATCGACCAAAATTCCAAAAGTTTTCGAACATCAGCGCAAAACCACCACTCTAATCGATTCCAATATCCAACTAAACTCCATTAATTTTCCAGACTTATCCAGCTTTCGTTAATAAGAAAAAAGATGTATGCCAAGGTCTCTATTCAACCACTCAAAGCAATCATCAATCAGCGTAGCTCACCAAATCGTTTCCCACAAAAATACCTGCGACCGTCGTACAAAAACTGCGGACTCAATCCTATTAATTTCTCGGTCCTCAGAATCCGAACACGTGTTGACGCCACGATTCTCTCTTTCCTCGAAAACAAGCGCGCAAAACACTCTAGTCTGGAGGTCGAAAAGTTTTCGGCAAGGACAACGTATCCTTGCGAGTTGCGTAACGATTCGAATCGCAGAAGATGCACTCACCTCTGAGCCTCAAATTGGTCGAATTAATCGATACAGTTGTCGCATCACAGTCGACCGGTAAATCGACGGATTACGTTGCTGATAGAGTTCAAGGCTCGGGAAGAGGAAGAGTTACGGCGGTTTACAACGTTTCCGGTCGCGGTCAACGCAACATCGTTGGAACTTGGCACGTTCTCTCCTGTCGAGATCTTACACGCCACTAGAACAGAGAATCGGTTCTACCTATCTCATTGGACTGCACTGCGCCTCGACCGACTGGCCTGCTCTTATATACCGGGTGACCCCGTTGGATCGACAGATATCGCTAACAGAGTGGATCCGATAGACACGCACGGCGGCCGCTCTATTGTGACGGAGGAGAGATAGGGTTTTTGAGGTTATGGAGAGGATGAGGGATTGGGAGATGTTTGTATTTTTGGGTGAGATTGGGATTTGGGAAGTTGGGAAATTGAGGAATTGGGAATTTGGGGAGTGGGAATTTAGGGAGTGGGAATTTAGGAAATTAGAATTTAGGGAATGGTTAATTTTGGAAATTAAGAATAGCAGAAATTAATAATTTGACGAATTGGGAATTTAAGGATTGGAGATTTGGGGAGTGGGAATTTAGGAATTGGGAATTTAGGAAATTAGGAATATGAGAAATTGATAATTTGAGGAATTGAGAATCAGGGGAACTGAGAATTTGGAGAATTGGAAATTGGGAATTGGCCATTGGGTAATTGGAAAATGAGCAATTAGCAATTTAGAGAATTAGGAATTTGGGGAATTGGGGAATTGGAAAAATTAGGAATTGACAGTTTAGGGAATTAGGAGTTAGGCGGTTTGGGAATTAAGAGAACTGGGAATATTGGAATATAGAACTCCTTGAATTTGGGAATTTGGAATTTAGGAATTGGGAATTTAGGAAATGAGAATTTAGGAAATAGGAATTTTGGAATTGGGAATTAAGGAATTAGGAATTTAGGAATCGAGAATTTAAGAGTTGAGAATTTAAGAAATGGGAATTTAGGGAACTAGAAATCTGAGAATATTGGGATTTGGGAATTTGGGAATTTAAGAATTTGATAACTTGCCAGTTTAACAACTTAACAAACTTAATAATTTGACAATTTGTTAGTTTGACAATTTGGCAATTTAATAGTTTGACAATTTAACAATGTTATAATTTGACAATTTCACAATTGGATAGTTTTACAGTTTGACAACTTGACAGTTTCACAACTTGACAGTTTGACAACTTGACAGTTTGACAACTTGACAGTTTGACAAATTGACAGTTTGACAAATTGACAGTTTGACAACTTGACAGTTTGACGAGTTAATAACTTGCCAGTTTGACAATTTGACAACTTTATAACTTGACACTTTTATAGCTTGACAACTCGACAACTTTATAACTTGACAACTTGACATATTTATAACTTAACAACTTAACAACTTAACAACTTGACAATTTGACAGTTTGACAGTTTGACAGTTTGACAGTTTGTCAGTTTGATAGTTTGACAGTTTAACAGCTTAACTACTTGGGAACTAAAAAACTTGAAAATTGAAGACTTGAAAATTTGAAGACTTGGAAACTTGAAGACTTGAAAACTTGAAGACTTGGAAACTTGGAAATTTGAAAACTTGAAGACCTGGAAACTTGGAAATTTGAAAACTTGAAGACTTGGAAACTTGAAAACTTGAAGACCTGGAAACTTGAAAACTTAGAGACTTGAAAACTTGAAGACTTAGAAACTTGAAAACTTGAAAACTTGAAAACTTGAGAACTTGAAAACTTGAAGACTTGAAAACTTGAAAACTTGAGTCTAATATTTACTAAAATTTCCAAAGTACTGTCAATAAGCATTGATTGTTCACCATTCCCATCCACTCCGTATCCCTTTTCAAGCTCGCAATACTTTAAGGCTTCACTTAAACATTGGCACATACCACTCTTACATTCCCATTAATAATCGCTGATATTCCAGTACAAGAAAAACCAATTTTCATGTAAATTCATTCCCAGTATTTCCTTTACATGTCTCCTTTTACAATGAGTCCACATTTATCAACAGGTTATTAGAAGACCTCTAAGCCTTCAACGTAACAACACTATCATTCTGATTTTTCTGTTAGGTATTACTAAAAACATGTTAAAAACACATTAAACGAAATCTTTTCGTGACTAAATAAAGCACAAAAGTGAGGCACATCACAGCTTTGTGTTCATTACTTATCTGTTTGACATACTTTGTCATGCATATAATCAGTTAAAAATTGAAATACAGTGAATATACAGGGTGTCCCAAACTTAAAATATTCTGTTTGTAAAAATAAAAGGAGAATGGATGAGTCAACACAAGATTTCATTTTATTATACAGGTGGAAGATTTCATTTTATTATACAGGTAGAAGATTTCATTTTATTACAGAAATGGGAGATCACTATGGACTGCTTTATGGATAAGCGGATCACATACAGATTGTACGCTTTTGTAAAACTTTAGTTATACAAGTTATACTTTACTAGGCATACTTTTATTTATATTTAACTATACTTGTATTTATTTATGAAGAAAAATAAGAAAATATGAGTATACATAAGCTTTCGAATTATTAATACTAGAACAACCATTCAGTCAAAAGGACTGGTTTCAAGTTTGATATTTTATATTACAAAATTTTTTCGTCGTTTTGTATATACTCCTTATAATTTCCTAATAAATTGTCTAAAACTGTTTTTACAACATTATTTCTTTATTTTTGCATATGTATATGTTGGCAAAGTTTAATAGTAAAAAACTGGACACCCTGTATATACTTTCAGTCACAATATAAATTTTAAGTTACTTCATTTTTGTTCAAGAGTGACGAATAACTTTTGTTTCAAGACTAATATGGTTTTTATAAATTTGTTATGAAACGTCTAAAACCTTATTTTAATATAACATCTGATGTTTGTCTATGTATATGTTGGCAAAGTTTAATAGCAAAAAACTGGACACCCTGTATGTACTTTAAGACACAACATCAATTTTAAATTACTTCGTCTTTGTTTAAAAGTAACTTTCTTTCACTAATATGTATTTTACTACATTTCACTATGAAACTTTTCTCATCATTATTACAAATTACTAACAAAGTGTTTAAAACATCAAACTTATTTTAATAAAAGTTTAAGAAAGTTTAATAGTAAAAAACTGGGACATCCTGTACGTATTCATACAAGATCATACATGCCATCATTTTCATACAAAATCTGAAAATGACAAATTTTCAGACAAAATCTGAATATAAATTCTAGACTCCTAATCAACAAACTAAACTTATGAAACTACGTATACTGAAAAAACTAATTGTAACGATATCATCGTGTGTCGGGTCACAAAACATAGCAAATCTGAAACAAGCGAAGAGGTTATCAGTTACGCTGTTCTTCCGCAATGATTATGTTTTCCTCGCTCGCAAGTAGATGCGGAAAAAGGCGGCCATTTTGTGGCCCGATAACGCTCAGGTGAAACTCATTCGACACCGTATTAAAGAAACAATGGGAATGCATACTTGATCGGTGATTCGATCCAACTTTTCTTTTTGTCATTGAGGCACTTTAGATACAGTGGTAATTTAACGGCTTGGTATTTGTTGCAAAATTTTCATTTAGAAAGGATTTTTAAACTTTTATACAAGGTTTGACGTTTCTAAATTTGCTGGTTTAAAAGTTAAAAAGGTCTGAGTTGTAAATTACAAGATTTTGAAACTTCGTATTTATAGGCCTTACAAGGCTTGATATTTCTAAATTTAAAGTGAAATATGGTTTGAAAATTAAAAAATCCAAGAGTACAATGTTTTAATGATTGAGGGTTTTAAAATTCAGACATTTTTAATATACTAGGTCTCAAAGTTTTAAAACTCCAGAGTGCGAATGAAATTAAACAATTCGAAAGCCTTTTGCATTTTGAAAATTGTAAGTCTCAAAGTTTTATCATTTCAAAATTTCGAAATCTTAAAGTTTAAGTACATCCCAAAACTCAGGGTGCCAAAATCACAAAATTCCAACGTGCCTATATTCAAAAACCCTAAAGTTCCAAATTTGAAAAACTTCAAAATTCCAATATCTCAAAACCCAGAATACTAAAACCCCAAAATTCCAAAATCCCAACGTTTCAACATTCATAAACCCTAAAGTCCCAAATTTTAAAAGCTTCAATATTGCAATTTTCCCAAAACCCAAAGTTCCAGAATCCCAAATTCACAAAATTCCAAAATTCCAACGTGTTAACATTCAAAAACCCTAAAGTCCCAAATTTCAAAAATTCCAATATTCCAAAACCCAAAGTGCCAAAATCCCAAAATCCCAAATTCTAAAATTCCAAAATCTCAAAATCCCAAATTCCCAAAATTCCAACGTTTCAATATTCAAAAACCCTAAAGTCCCAAATTTTAAAAGCTTCAAAATTGCAATTTTCCCAAAACCCAAAGTTCCAGAATTCCAAATTCCCAGAATCTCAAAATCTCAAAATCCCAAAATTCCAAAATTCCAATATCCGAAAACCCAAAGTGCCAAAATTCCAAAATCTCAAAATCCAAAATTCCAAAATTCTAATATCTCAAAATCCGAAATGCCAAAATCCCAAAATCCCAAAATCCCAAAATTCCAACGTTTCAACATTCAAAAACCCTAAAGTCCCAAAGTTCAAAAGGTTCAAAATTCCAACATCCCAAAACCCAAATTGTCAAAATTCCAAAATTCCAAAATCCCCAAACCTCAAACTCCTAAATTTAAAAAATTAAAAAGTCCCAAACCTCAATAGTCCTAAAGTTAGCAAAAACTCAAAACTACATAAAACTTTAAAGTCCCAAAGATTAGTCTCTAACTCTAATTTTAAAAGAGTCTTCCATCATAAACCACAAACAGACAATTCTCTGCATATATAAAAGAAACCTTAACTCCGCAAACATTCTTTAAGAACGCGTTTTAAATGGCTGCTGAGCGTGGAACGCAGTGTTTCAGTCACCTCAATTAATTTTAATTACCTACTCGAGATTCGTGTGGCACCGATGTGCACCTTTGTTTCGACAAAATGGAAATGAAACAGCTAGGGTGAGCCTAGTCGTAGATTAGCTGACTTTATCTAAATCTTAAATTAGTATTCCGTGCAAATAGGGTTTAGTTCGTTGACATTCGTAAGCATGGGTGTAGCTGGAGGGAGACAGGGAGGGGCTCTTGGTCCCCTGGAGAATAAAAATTCAC